ACACACACACACACACAAACAGAAAGAAGAAGGAGTAAGACAAAGAATTATTAAAATTGTTAAAGCCTATAAATAACCATTAAAATTGGTAATTTTCTTTTTTTTGAGAATTATTAATGAAATATTGAATTAAAAAGTGATAAAAGAGTATTTAAAAAAAACCTCAGACTAATCAGATGTATCCTAATTGTTGTTCGAATTTTTTTCAAAACTGTTTGACTTAACCTGTTGAGATGTAAAACAAATAAAAAATAAAGCTTTAACCCTTTTAAGTTTCTTCAACAATTTTTAATGTTTCATCCAAAATTTTGTTGTTTTTGTTGTTGTCGCACTGTTAGGTTTCACATCGTTAGATCATAAACTGATTAATTGCACTACTGTGTTCTTGATCTTCTGCAATAAAAATTTCAATAGTTTATTTTGCATATCTAATAGATCACTGAAATACCAACAATTAAAATATGCAAATATTGTACACAATATCAACAATTTTTTTCAACATTTATTCAAACATGAAAAGATTTATAGACAAAATTGTTTACAACTACAACACAGATCTAGATCAGCTTAATTAAGACATCCTAGCTAAAAGTTTTTAAAGATTGGCAGTGAATTTTTACCTGTAATAGTTAAATATACCAAGAAAAAAAGACGAAGCGAGCTAATCAAAAAAACAACAATCAGTTAATTATTTTGATAGCGATAAAGCTTCAAGACTTGTAAGAAAAAAGAGATGGATGCTGAACAAAAAAAATAATAAATAATTAGAGTAAGAAAACAGACAGGAGGGGAGGAGATGCTGAAATTGGTAATACATTTAAGGAATACAGTGCAGAATCTGAATTTGATTGCTTGTGTGGTTTTGACAAAAACTGAGGGTTTGAAGAAGTCGCTGTGTTCGTCATCATAAGTCCTATTGTTGGGCCATAAAAGCTCTCAGCGCTATCACTGAAGTCATTTTTCAACGTTTAACACCTTCAGTGCTGATCACCTCTTAGACACAGGTCGGTGTTACTGCCACAAAACTGTATCCCCCCTCCCTCCCTCCCTCCTCCCTACCTCCCTTCAAATTCATGTTGGTAATTTTAGTCGCTTAAACTTTCCTTGTTGTGCAAAAAATTCCTGATAACTTTTGAAAATACTATCCAAGCAAACTGTTATTTCGTATGTAAAAAAAGAAATTTTGTTGAACAATTGGCCAATGTTTATTGTTTGCTTGGCTTCTGCTTACTCAGCCATTTAATAGTTCCTACTTTCTTGCAAACTTCGTTGATGCAAAAAATTTCAGGTTTACTGTCGTGTATTAATGAAGTAAAACTAACAGAAACATAATTTTGCGTTGAAAAAAAAAGCATATCGTATTAAATAATTCAAATTTACAATTTTAAGTATCAACTTTCTTTTTTATTACGATCAATTTGATACGGCGTCAATGACTTTTTGTTTGTGGCTGTGACTGTTTTACAACCTCTAAATCGGTCAAGATAAAGTTACGGATAGCGACTTCTTTTTTAAAATCTTTACTAACTGTTTTTAAAACTTACTTTCAATTTTTGCTTATTTAAACAAAGATTAATTGAAGTTTTTGTTTGAACGAACTAAGACATTTGATTAAAGATTGTTGAAGTGAAACTTAGCTGTTGTCATAAAATGAAATTTGTTATTTATTCTCGTAATGATATATTGTTTCTTGAAAGTCTCTGATTAACTTTTGGTAAAATAGTAGAAGAAAAAAACAATTTAAAAAAGGATTTAATACGATTGTTATTATTTAGCTTATTTTAGTTTGCAGTATCATAAAAAAAGTCGAAGAAGGCGTTAAAAATGTTTATTAGTGTGCGTGAGATATTCATATGAAACTGTGTTCGACGGATACGAGAAAATTAGATGCAGCTGAAGAAAACCTTATTATCAATCAACATAATGAGCTTTTTTTTAGGTTATGTTCATCAGCTTCATTGTGCTCCATTTGTTTTTTTTGATGAACCGTGTCTCATGCTTATCCTGGTGTGAATATTTTCGTCAACTTGGTATTGACAAGCCGGAATGTGCGCCAATGTCGATGATTGATCAGGCTCGAAAAAACGAATTTTATGAGCGTGCAAGAAATCTAAACTTTATTACGCCTGAACAATACGCGCTAGCAAATCTACAAAATAGGTATGAAATAAAAAACGCTGGACATTGGTCGTTGAAAACCACAATAAGACCAACGATACGAAAACCGGGAACTGTAAGGCCTACGCATACAGTAAAACACACCAGAGCCACGAATCGTAATCGTTTTCGAACTACACCAGGACCAAATACGGCGACAGCAGAATCAGCACTGATGATTTATGGCGTCACCAGAGTTACAACAGCAATGGCAAAAATTACAAATGAAAGTACCACTTTAGGTAAACCATACTAAAATTAAATAAATCAATTTTTAAAAAATTCGGGAAAAAAGGCTAGAAAAGTTAGTTGCTTTAAATGAAGTAAATCAGGTGTAACACAACATTGTTGAACATTTTTTAACTGCGTCAACAAAAAATTCAGTTTAAAAGTTGCGAAAAAAAAAA